AACCCCATACCCACCCACACTCCACATATCCACATACCCGCCCACACTCTCACACCTATCCACCCCAACAGACACACCCACACCCTCCCCTGCACCTGACGTACCCACATACCTACATCCCCCCACAAACCTATACCCCCCCTACAATATACAAGAGTAAGACTTCATTTTACGCTATTATATACAATCACCTCTATGCACACTACACAAACACATGTAAACCAGGACAAAAATATTTTTTGAAATCAAATTAATGAAGGGCTTCCAAGGGAGGTGGTGCTCTCCCCTACCTTGGGGGTCTTCAAGCGAAGGCTGGATAAGCATCTGGCTGGGGTCATCTGACCCCAGCACTCCTTGCAGGGGGTCAGACTTGATGATCTGTTGAGGTCCCTTCTGACCCTAGCATCTATGAATCTATGAAAGTTTTAGATGTTCACTTTTTAGAATATAATTTGGCATTCTTTTGGTTCCAAGATAGCAAAACCCCTTGCTAAAAGGAGTACTTTGGGGGCAAGAGGAGGGACTTCTGGTGGCAAAAGTCAGGGGTTAGGGGGCAGGACTTCCAGTCCCAAAATGGCAACCAGCGGGTGGGGCACCTGCCAAGGGGCGGGACTACCCATGTGACCATCTACAGCTTGCCAAAACTTGGTAAGTGGCCCTCTGCCAAAATAATTGCCCACCCTTGTGCTAGGGTGATGTGCAGGTGGTTTAAATGTGGAGATAACTGCTAGGAGGCCATTTCTTCCTGCATGCTAGCCCATGCAAATCCAGAGCCTGAGGGGCTGTTGCACTGGGTGTTGTTTTGGGTCACATTCAACACAGATATTCCTCTGAGGGGTTTTCAGAGACCCAGTAAAAAAGGACTCCTTGTCTCTGGGAGTCATTTTCAGCTCTCGTTGGTAAGGGGCAGTTTTCTTGTACATGAGGGCATTGTTGGCTGTGTGGCCAGCTAGACTTAGTGCCAGCCACACCAGATAGGATGTCCCAGATGTGTATATAGGTGGGTACTTGTGTGTGAGTGAATGCTAAGGCATGTAGGAGATGGTCGGAGGAGTACAGAAAAGTGCAGCTCCCAAGATTGGGGTGAACATGGTCAATCTCCTGGCAGAGGGTGTTGGGGGGCTTCTCCTCCTCCCCTGGACTGTTGGCCCCACCTGGAGAGGGGGGCAGTAGTGCTGTGGAGGGGTAGGGCTGCTGCAGGTACAACCTGTGCCCCTAGCAGCTCTGCTCCTGCCCCACTGGCCCCCAGTGCAGAGCAGAGCAGAGCAGAGCAGGGGTGCTTCCCAGCCAGGGAGAACAGGTTGTAGCTCCTGTATACCAGCCCTGCTCCTCCAGGGACAAGGTTGGGGTCTGTGGGGTGGAGACAGCATGGTGGGGGAGATGAGTTGGTGTGGAGGAGATGGTCCAATAGGGACTTGCAACGCTGGGGTGGAGGGACCCTCAGCTTCGATGACAGAGTGGTAGCCTGGAAAGATCAGGAGATTTGGGAATTTTTGACATTCGGGCTTCCCTGGAAGAGCAGCAAATGCAGCTGCCAGGCAGAAAAGCCTTGCAAAGCAGAGCCCTGCTTACACACAAAGCCCCCAGGAGCCCAAGGCTTCAACAACTCATCCTGAAGAGGTTGTGCAGAGCTAGATTGCACTGGGACAGCAGACTCCTATCACAGGATCCCCATGCCTGGAGACCACCAATGAGGATTGGTGCATGGAGCAGCTGGCGGGGGGTGAGGCTGGACTAGGGAGCTTAGGGCCAGTCTTCTCACATTCATTAGCACTGAGAAAAGGGGAAAGAAGTGCTGTTGGTGGCAGCCAGCAGTAAACTGTAGCCAATTTGGAGCAGAGAAGAAAGGAGCTGACTGGCCCTGGTCCCTCATCTGTGTGGTCTGTTGGGCGGTACAGCAAGGCCATAAGATCCCTTGACAATTCTGCTTTTCCAGTCCATTTTTCCTTCTTTCCCCCTTCCTGTAGCATGGCCAATCCATTTTTTTCTGTTTCCCCCAGTGGCTTTTCCTTTACTGAGCTGTAGGTCCAGGCACTAGACAAATGCGTGCTCTCAGAAAGAGTGAGGCAGTGTTAACACCAGCCGCCCAGCCAGAAAGGTCATGAACACATTTGAAACCTGACACAGAATAAGCCCATTTGTATGATATACATCCACAGGCCAAAAGCAAAGCATATCTCTCCACTCTCAAATGATGGATATTTTAGAAAAGGAATGGGAAGGAACTGAAATAAAGTCCCCAGGAGAGAGCCCAGTGGAGGTGACTCCTGCCTCACAGACTAGAAGCAACTTCGAACAAAATAGCTGCTGAACTCTTTGCCCTTCTGCCTGTCTGGCTTAGGTGGTTTCAGTAGAGCTGATCACAGCAGCATCTAGCCAGCTTTTGGGGGCTGGCCAAACCATAAAAGGTAAACAATGAACTCTCCTTGAAACGAATGAGATTTAGGCACCAAACCTGCTTAGGTGTTGTTATAGACCCTACTAGACACCTATACACATCTTCAGGCATCTAAATATCTTTGAATTCTGGCCTTAATTGCCAGCTGCAAAGCAACCTGCAGTGAGCTATGGATGTGGTGCTGGGCATTTGAAGTGCAGAGGAACTGTACACAGACAGAGAAGAAGAATCAGTTTTCCAGCTGTGTGTTTTTTACCTTCCACTTACACCAGGCCATTCTGTAGCTGGATGGGGAGTGACGTGCAGCTTGTGGATTCATTGATACTCATGTGAGAGGTGGGTTAGCCATAAATAACACAGTCTGGCCTAACAGATTTTTTCCACTTTTTCAGGCTTTCATGACCTAATGAAAAGACTTAGGTGGCAATAGAGGAGTGGGGGAAGGTTACAAAAGAGTAGTATTCTGTAGCAGATATTATGGAGGAGTGAAAAATACTGACTGTCCAGTATTTCTCAGGCTTTGGGGGGTGGAGGGGACAGGAACTAATGCATTTCAAAACATCAAAGATTTGGTAAAGGCACAAGTCTACATGCCCTTGTTAAAAGGCAGCATCCTCTAGCTGGTCGTTCTTAGTACTGATTTTAGCCAGTCATGGGTAACGTTTATGAAAAATGTAACTAGTTCAAGTTAAAAGTTAGCAGCCTTTAAAATTAATGTGAGTTGTTAGAAGTTAAATATTTCCACTTTCAGCTAGTTAAAAGTTAAAAAGAGGGTGACTAGTTAAAAGTTAAGTTGATTCGTAAGCAATGCATGAAACACGGTGAATTGCCTCTTAGCATCGTTTTTCATTTTCAAATGCAAGGAGTGGGTTTCTTTTCCATAAGCCAACAGAAGCACACTTATTTACTCAGAACTCACCCTGCTTTACCTGAAAACAATGTTATACTTGTCATACAGTTTTCAGAATAACAATTTACCAATACCTATGTAATGCTAGACCCTTCTCACCTTCTGCATGTCAGACCATTGCCTCTCTATGTCAAGTACTTTGTAAAAGCCAATGCATCATGTAGATGTACCAGAATAACAGAAAGGAGATATTCATAGCCAGTTGACAAATGAAAGCTGTTTCCACAGAAAACCTCTGTTGTTACAATTTTTATTGCTCAAAAGGTAACAAAGGGGTATGAAATGCATCTGAATTAGAAATAATGAAAGTGTCTGAACATCAAAATTAGACTGAAATGAGAAAATCAGTTTAAACGAGAAAAAGACTGTTCGGTTGCATAGCAGAAACGGTTTAAACATGCATATTGAATTTCAGCAAAAGCTGCATTTCAAAATCGACAGCTGACAGTTATCCTCATCTGTCTTGCAAAACTTAGCCCCCACGACTGAACAGTCGCTCTACATGGGCAGATGAGGGAATGCTTGTGTTATAATGGATGGATAGCTTTTTCATAGTAGGTGACATCTCAGATAAGTTTCTCACAGATAAGAAGTAATGCTCAACTTCTTGGGCCCTAGGCTGCTGGTTCTGATCTTCATTAAAATTTAAGAAGTCATCATCTGCTTCACCCTCACTACTTGCTCCCACTCTTACTGGGATCAATGTCTCTGCTTGCTTGTGCTTGTTCCCTCTCCTGCAGCCACCTGGCTGCCCCATTGACTTCTGCAAATGCACAGAAAATGCCAGCATGCACTAAGGAACTCTGGGACGTGTAGTTCTTAAGAGACCAGTTCTCATAGGTCGGCACACTACTCTCTGTCTCTCAGCCAAGAAGTCCTAGAGTTTCAATAAAGAAATATTGTTCCATGCAAGTCCTAGAGAGTGGCTGTCAGGAAAAACTCTGGGAAAGCCGGATTTCATTTTTTTTAACTTTTAACTTATACTTTTAAAAAGTTAAAGTTAACCTTCGTTTTAACTGTTAAAGTTAAAAGTTGACAGCTGAAAAATTTGACTAGTTAAAGTTAAAAGCTAGCCATTTCTTTAACTTTTTAATTATCTAGTTAATTCCTGTGACTGATTTTGGCAGCAAGGGAACAGACCCCATTCCACACTGCTCAGATTCCGGGAAAACCACTCATGTGTCTAGTTTCAAAAAACATTTATCTCATAGTTAATGCTGGCTGTTCAATTGCCATGGACTGATCTTGAAGAGCTAAAGGGGTGTTATTAAGTTCTGACTCTTGCTTAACAAATCATACTCACTTTGACTGTAAAGCACCTAATCCTGGGTGGTATAGTAGTCTCTGGCCCTAAGTGCAGCTCTGTTCCACCACATTCAAGGCCCTGAAAATCCATGAATACATCTGCTTTTGTAACATCTTATCCTTAAGATGGGGGTCACAGAAAGCAATGAATAGCAGGAGGACCCAACCACCTTTTGCACTAACCGTTTTTCAGGGGCTCAGAAAGAATAGGATCACAGTCAAGTAGCCAATTCACTTAAATGCCTAATAGGTGGACTAGAATCTGGGTTTGAGAGTTTGAGGGGAGTTAAGGGAGAACTTAAGGAAAATTCAGACCATCGCCTTAAGCGGCTGTTGCCCTGCAGTCGATGGACGTGATCTCCCTAGTTTTTCTTCCTCTCTTTTCAGGGCTTGTTAAGACAGCTGGTCCTGTTGCCAGGATCTGATGCTACCTCAAGGATATGCACTAACATGAACCTTAAGCTAGCGGTGCTCTCCATCCCCCCAGTACTACAGGACCTCCCAGTGAAGCCAGGAAGCAATGAGGTGCTGAAATACCCATACGGTCAGTAAAACAAAACAGAGTTCTTGAGGCGCTTCACCGTCTTGCATTAGCAAATCTTTAGAACAGGCCTCCCTGGGGCCGTCTAACTGTATGTGACCTGATGTTAGTCTGAGGGAAAAGCAGAACGAGGTGGTTGGATTGCATTTTTAAGATAGGAGTTACAAGTTATTTTGTGTCGCAGGGAAGGAATTTGTATTTTCCATTTCCATTTTTATATATTCTCTTGCTTTCTCCTCATGTTTTTGGAAACTCGTAGAATCAGTGCCTTGCATATGAACAGAGTGATCTTGAGTGAATCATGCCAGCAAAATCATTCTGTACCAAGCATGGGAAGGGATAGCTGTAGCTCTTTTCTCACACGAAAAAACACCACTTGAGTAACAGTGGGTGCATCTGCATGTGCCATTAATGCTATTTGGCTTTACTACACAGTAGATTTACTACCTGCATATGCAAGTAGTAAATTTACTACACAGTAAACTAATTTACTGCACAATAAGCACCTTCTTGTGTAGGCGGTGATGCTTTACTGTGCAGTAGATTCGTGTACTGCGCAGTAAAGCATCTCATATAGATATGACGGGTAAGATACAAAATAATGCATTTCCTTAAGCCATTTCCTTTCAGTATGTTATAGAAAGATTAACACAAGAGCTGTAGCACAGTTTGGAGGAGGAGAGTGCTGTGGCTATATGGAATGGTGCTGAAATGTTAAAGCCCTAGCAGCTGGTCTTGGTGACCACTGGAAAGTTTAAGGCATGCTGAACAAAGATTTCAAGCCATGAAACATTGCATCACATTTTTCTGATTGTATTTTTGACTTGTCACCATTCTAGTGTGACTCCCTGCAGGAACAGCAGATCTAATCAAATCTATCGGTGCCAGTGAAATCGATCCCTAGTTTTAGGATTGGTAAAATAGGGTGTGGGTTGCTACCCCTTAGTAGTTAGTGATGAGAAGTAGTCCTCAAGCCTGTTTTTGTGAGGGCCATTGGGATGACTTAGAAAGGAAAATTGGTGTCTCTAGCAGGTCAGAGGCCACTCATCCAATACATCTACAAGGCAAACTTCAGTAGCATTCAAAGTTAACAGCTTGTTTAAATGAATGGAGAGTGCTCAGGCAATTTGGGGCTCTCATTTTGGTTGTTTTGAGCAGACTCGGGCAGGCGGTGCTGCCATGCTGTATTGTGTCCGTGTCCTTTGTTATCACAACAGATGATCTGACGTTGTGGCAAGGGGTGATTCCAAGTGCACCGGGAGGATACAAGGCCTGCTCCTCCTTTTGGTTTCCCCAGTGAAACTCCATAGTCCTCAGTGAGCAATGCCTTATTTACACTGGTTTAAGTGTGAGGAGACCTCAGCCCAGAGCTTCCAGCATTACTGCAGAGGGGTGAGGCAGACCCCAGCGCAGTGAGATCTGAGGGCCCTCTACATGCCCCTTGTGAAGGAATGATGTGAGCCAGGTGATTCCTTCCTCTCAGCCTGAGTCACAGCAAGTTGCCCCCATGCCGGTGTGTAGGCAGTGGCTTAGAGAAACTGTACTAGCACCAGGTGTGCGAGCAGGTCTGCCTCCCTCAGGACAGCCCTGACTGATCTCAGCCACTGTCACGGGGAAACAGAGGGGTTTCACAGGGAGTAGAGGCGACACCTCCTTCCCCTCACACTCGGGCAATAGCTGCACTGAGACCATGAGTGTGGGAAGACATCGGCTTTCCCTCTCTGTGCTCTTCTGGCCAGAAGACCCTGGGGCACGCTGGGGCAGGTTGGGAAATGATGGGCTTTCAAAGTGGGCAGTGCAGCAGCTGGAGAAGAGTTAGGAAGGAAGCAGGGCACAGCCAACAGCAACAGCAGAGCAGGGCTTGGAGTTAGCTTCTTGATACTGGAAAGAGAGACAGGACAGGCAGTCCTCTCCCACACTGCATGAGCTAAGGCCATCACTTAGCATGCCACTTAACCACACAGGTCCTTTAAGCACCTCAGTGATCTCACTGAGCTCCATGGGGCTACACTGATGTGCTTTAAGTTAAACATGCGCCTAGGTGTTGTGCTCGACTGGGGCCCATGCTATGTAATCCACTCCATGCCGTAGTGGACTCAGCCTGGGCTCTGCTGCCTCCAGCTGTGCACGTAGGGAAGGCAGCAAGCAAGAGCCACCGTTTTGGTCTTTCGTTCCATCAGGGGCTTTAACGGGGCCTGTTGTGCTTTTGTTTGTGCTCAGAAGCCGAGATGAAGGTGACTTTTGGGTCCCGCCCGCCCTGCACCAAGACTGAGAAAGCGCAGTTCTGGTTTAACGTCTCTCAGAAGGGGCTGCATCTCTGTAACGGGAGTGCATGGCTTTCCATGCTGGAAGGTAAGGGGCACGGGGTATGTGGATGGTTCTCCATTAGGGCTCTCTTTGGGCCCCCTAGCAGTGGAGAGAGGCAGAGTGTAAGGTCTTTGGGGCAGGGGCCAAGGGAGGGGGGTCACAAGGGACCTTAGATACCTACATTCAAGAGAGGAATTGGCAGGAACCCAGCCTGACTGTTTTGGCAACAAGACTCTCCTGCCGGCTATATTTTGGCCAGAACTGGCTCAGCTCTGGCATGCCCAGAGGCAGTACCTTCTTGGCTTACCCAAGAGTTTAGGCATTTGGGTTGTGCCTGAAGTGGAAGTTGTAGGATCTTTTCTACTGGAGATTTTCAGCTGCATGCTGGGCAGGCATTTCTCTGAGAAGTTTTAGGGACAGGGAATCCTGGATCTGTGCAGGGGTTGGGCAAGTTAATTTCTAGATAGATTCACCAACACAGCATACGGCATTGGAGCAAGACTTAGGAGACCTGGCTGCCATTTCCAGCTCTCTTCTGGCCTGGTCTTGGGGAAGTCCCTTCTGTGTGCTGTACTTCACCCATTTCTAAATGGGCATCTTCTTCTGGATTGTGTAGACCAGTGGTTCTCAACTCTTTTAACCTATTTGCACTTTTCTATGACTTTTGGGACCTGAGTGGCATGCATCTGAGAACCACTGAGCTAGAAACTAGCTGGTGTCGTGTGATGGTGGCAAGGGGCCTTACCTCATGGCGCCTTGTTTTTTTTGGCATTTGCCCTCACCCAGCCCTTGGTCTGTACCTGAGGGAGCAAGTGCCGGTGACCAGAGCCATGTCCACCCATGACCTCTCCCACAGTCCCAGAGCATTGGGAGCAGCTGGGGAGGGACAATCCAGCCTGAAAAGGGAAGCCACATAGCCCAGTATCTGTCTGTCTGTCTGCCTGCCTTCCAGAGCATGCTGCTTTGAGTGCAGGGGCCAGTACAGGGAGTGCAGTTGTTTGGGAAGCAGCCCTGG